TGTGTTTTCTAAATAAAGCAGTGTTTATCTGATCATTTCTGGAAGGATTCTTTATTATAGGAGTCATTGTTATTATAAGCAGCTGTTAATAAACACCCAGTGTACTAAAACAGGGCTGTATTAGCTGGAAAATTAGCCATATTGGTCCTGAACAAAAAACCCAAAGGCTTGACCTGCTGTGTCAGTCTGTCACAGGCAGTTTTAGCAACCTGCATGTCTCCTTTAGGAGAGAATATCAAGAAAAATAAGTCCGCCTGATGCTACTCATATACTATGTCCCAGTAATAAGCCATGTAATGAACAATCATCAAAATTCTTATATTTTCAACTCATAGACACTTTATTAACTTTCTCATTGACATCTAAGCAGTGCAGTGATGTTTTGAATAGATACAGTCAAAAATAAGTAAAAAAAAAAAACGGCGCTTGGTAAAATTTTGATCAAAACGTCCAGTTTCATAAAAATATCAAACTTCTGTGGGCATTTACAACTCAGGTGATTACATATTTGAGAAATCACATGTCTTCTGAAAATAAAACATATAACATGTGGCTGTCTCATATAATTACTAGAGTTACAACAACTGAAAGAGGAACTGACAAAAACGGGGAAAAAACACACCTAATAGTGCTAGGGTCCTAAACACAATGAATATGAAATGATATCTGAATAACCCTGTTATGAATAACCCTGTTAAGTGTTACGAGTGCTGTAATAATCACTGTATTTGTGCTTCAGGACACAGCACTGATTTCTGTACCAGATCCTCACAAACCAAACCCTGTTCTTATAAAGGAGCCCTGAGTCACCTGTACAAAAACACCCCTCACAACAGCCTCAGTCAAGAACACAGTAGGACACAATACTGAGCTTTATCTAATTAGGAATAGACTTCAAAGGATCAGATATTTATGTACCGGGATGTCGGTCTCCAGACGGTCATGACGTGTGATGTTTCCTGAAGCAAATGTAGTTCTCGTTTGATTCACGTCATCATTTATCTGGAGCGATAAAAGAAAAAAAATCAGTCTATAGAGCACATCATTAGTCTTGTGGAAAATATTAAATAGAGGTCATAAATTCAACCATGCAAAAGGTCAGCTAAGCTAGCAGATCACTGACTGACTACAAATAAAGTCTAAACAGTGCCACATTCAGCTCTTATAAACCCAGTAATGTTCTCATAAACTAGACATCAGTCTCATCTACTCACACATCAATCACTCCTAAATCTTAAAAAAAAACTTTATTTTTTGATGAACAAAAACATTTTTGAATAATATCTGGGGGTTAAATTAACATTGACTTTGTTTACTGTACAGTCAGAATGAGCCCTGGTTTGATAGAAACAGGATACAATGGTATAAAATTAGATGATAATAGACAGTAATAATGTTTAAGGTTTAAAAACACACAGAAAGAACAATGAGGGATCAAATAAAGCCTCCAGACTATCAGATCAATATACACTTGATATAATATTGACTATTAGATTAATATAATATCAATATTAGAGCACTTTACACCCCCCTCCCCCCATGTTCTCACCTTGCATTGAGTGGTGCACCATGTAAGATTATCTCCTCCTATCATACTTTATCTTTTCATCTCTCTTAATATCTCTTATTGTGAACAAACACAGGTGTGTTCTACCATTTACTACAATTTATTCATTATTTTTTAATTAGGTTCAGCACTGTCGCTGACCAAGCACCCAAAGGACCCTTCATCATCAGTGACATCAATGTTGTTTAAAAAAAGAATCTGTAGTAATTTTCCTTTTAAAAACGTAACAAAAATATAAACAACATACATAAAATATACAGATGGTCTCAGTTTTACACTTACAGTGAAACCACAGAACAGAATCTTTATTAATCTACATTATAAATCTGAGTTATAAAGTTTCCCCGTTGTGTTTGAAATCTCGCTCTCCAAAACAGTCAGAATCTTCTCCTGTGATTTGCTGTACTTTGTACTCCAGAATAAAACTTAGTTTCTCAATATTTACTTTTGCAAATTCACCACGACTTAAAAGATGTCAGAGAAAAAGATAATAAATAAATGAAAATAATGTGACGTTTTCTCAAACAGATTTTCTGAACATTATTCTTCCCTCATTCTATTGTTGGTTAATCAACACCAACCTTCATCTTAATTACTAAACCATTTAAAAACCCTTTTGAAATCAACTGGCTGAATATCATTCAAAGTAAAAGATGCTACACTGTTACTTAAAACTCTTACAGCTCAATTAAACATTTAGAAAGACATATTCAGACATATTCTCACCTTTGTACTCATCTGTGTCTCTCTTCTATTGTACTGTTCAGTTACGCTACATACAGAGTTCTTTGGGTTGAGTCTCCTCTGTATTTCAGTTGTGCTGCTGTAACAGGAAAAAATATGTCAGAATAAATGAGACAAATCAAGCATGCAAATCAATTTTACACATTCATACTATAACAGTGATAATGTTCTACTCATCTGAGGCCTTTAATAAAAAAAGAAACAATGTTTTGCTGACGTATATAAACACTGAGTTAAGGTGCTCCTTAAACACCTCAGTGGTGTTTATCTGATCAAACCAATGACAGAATGAAGCTGGTGTTCATATTAAAATCTACAAGCTGTGTAAAACGTCACACGAGTAAAACAATCATAAAACATGTTTTACATCCAACAATTCATTTCCATGGTATAAACATTACTGTATGTAGTTAAAAACATTATTTTATTAAAACGTCAGTATAGACCTCACATAGATCATACTTTTCATCTTTCTCAGGAACTACAGCAGAACAGGTGTTACACTAAACGCTGCCCTGGTCAGTTTTTAAACCTGCAGAGCACCTTTAGGCCTTCAGCTGTTCAGCTCAGCTTTATTTACTCGTAGAATGAGTAAACTAGTCTTAGTCCAGCTCTGCTAACTGTGGAAACACCACACCAGTGTTTCTAATTATGAGCCCACCTTTATAGTTTAAGTCACCACAAACACCTCCATGTTTGCACATCCAACCATCCAGCTGTGTCTGAGTATAAAACTGTGGATGATCAGATAAACATGCTGTTTCAGGATTTTATCACATTCTGAATTCACCCAGCCCATAAAGGACTGTTACATTTGTCTACATGGTTGCTAACATTAGCCATAAGTTTATCTCAGGACGCCACTGCTTCTCCGCAGAGCACACGCAACCCAACACCGCCCTTCTCACCACTGCTGACCCAAACTCACCTGGCTGAATAAAAAAAATAAAAACTTGCTCTGTCACTTTAACAGATGAACTGTTTACTCTGACAGATCATCACCCAGAATCTTTAATTAACCTGTAAAATGTGCAGCTACTTTTTTATTTAACATAAAGATTTACACAACACAACATGCAGCGATTCAGCAGTGCTGATTGGATGAACTAAACCATAAAAATAAACAGAGTGACAGAAAGCAAAAAATAAGGAAAAACATCAATGATTCTTCAATAATGCCTGAAATATTAAAGCAGTCAGTTTTATTGTGTTAAAGTGGAGCAGATTTGCTTCTCTCTCTCTCTCTCTCTCTCTCTCTCTCTCTCTCTCTCTCTCTCTCTCTCTCTCTCTCTCTCTCTCTCTCTCTCTCTCCGGCACCGCACGTATTCGCTCGCTCGCCCGTAAGCACTCACACACGTCACTATTTGAGCCAAGACTTAAAACTTATATTAACATGGTTGATTTTGTCGCGTCAAGACGAGAAAAAGACTGACTTAAGACCGCCATCCTAAACACCTCACACTGAACGATCGAGACGACGCGAGCGCGACGCGACTCTAACAAGACTCTCGGGATTTTATTCCGACACTCGAAATTTGTCTGCGACAGTGAAATCGCGTGAAAAGTCGTTTGGTGTGAGGCCGCACAAGGAGATGACCGACAGCAGCACCTGTAGTCCAGTGTTAATCCAGAACTGATAAAGATTTTAATCAGCATCAAAAACAATCAAACCCATTTTCAGTACTGTCCTTATTCTCCACTGAGTGGAATCAGATTCAATAATTTAGAGTTTTTATCATCACTTTAAAAATGACATCAAAAATATCACAGTGTGATAAATATAAGAGTGACTACCTAAATATGAATTAAAGACATTCATAAAGACCTGATATTAATCATTTACTGTTTAATTATCTAACTGTAATGACCGTTACTGACCGTTACTGACTGATCCTGAGTGATGCAGCAGGTCCAACACACACAGGGCATTTGTTCATGCTTGAAACAGTTGCAGAGACTCGCTCATGTTTACAGTTCTGTTGGCAAAAACATCAGAACAATCAGACAATCTGTTCAAATCCAGACAATCATAGTTTAAAATTCTACAGTCAGAAAATAAAAAAATAAAAATTATTTTGATCAGTGCCACAAATCTGAGAACAGAAACTGTCTGCAGTCTTTCTGTAATGATTAAATCATTAAACGCCCAAATTCTACATTTTTCTTGTTTTTTATTTTTCTTCACTTATAATGTTTGTGTGTTTAATGTATCAAAAACAGTCATCATTCTGGATTTATGTATTTCATACCAAACCCATCTTTGTCTTTATAAACAGGTGTAACATTTGCTGCCTCTTCTTCTGGATTCAGTTCTCTTTCTCAGCTCCATGGCAGCCATTTTCCATGATGGCTCCACTCTTTATAGAAAAATAACAGTTTTATTTTGATCTTTTCATACATGAAATATTTAGTCTCTTTATTTGATTGACTGTTGCTGAAAGGAGCTCAAGATAATCTTATTTACAGCTAAAGTCTCACTTTTATTTCTGAACTAGCTGAGTTTCTGAATGAGACGACTAAACTAATCAAATCAAATCGAATCAGCTGAAAGGTCCTCGTAAACCACAAAAACCAACACGCTCACACACACACACACACACACACACACACACACACACACACACACACACACAGAACACACACACACACACACACACACACTCACTCTAATGTCTCTTCTTGTGTGCAGATTCCTGTGAGGTCACTCTGGATCCAAACACAGTGAACAGTTCTCTCTCTCTGTCTGACGGGAACAGAAAGGTGGAGAATGTGGGATCTTCACAGTCGTATCCTGATCATCCAGAGAGATTTGATTGGTATCTGCAGGTTCTGTGTAGAGAGAGTCTGACTGGACGCTGTTACTGGGAGGCTGAGTGGAGCGGAGATGTTGAAATAGCAGTAACATATAAATCAATCAGCAGGAAAGGAGTCAGTGATGACTGTTGGTTTGGATGGAATGTAAAGTCCTGGATTCTGAGCTGCTCTGATAACAGTTACTCTGTCTGTCACAATAATACAGCACTGATCTCTCTGCTCGTCCCTCCAGCTCTGGGACAGTAGGAGTGTATCTGGACTGTCCGGCCGGCTCTCTGTCCTTCTACAGCGTCTCCACTGATAAACTGACCCATCTACACACTTTCAACACCACATTCACTGAACCTCTATACGCTGGGTTTG